CCTTTGCACCAGCACGGCAACCACGATAACACCTCCTGATGTCCTCTGGAATCATATGTTGTTGTCCTCAATGAAAGGAGCTCTTCTCTTGAGTAAGCTCTTCACCCAGCAAAAGTATCCATCAGCAGCCAACAAAAAGACAACAAAAATATGAAAAAAATCTAGCAAAAATTACAGATAATACAGAGAAACCAGACTTGCATCAACCTCTTGGTTCAAGAGGTTCTTGGATCAATCATGTAACCTTCAGATTATGAAATATTTAAACTTATAAATGTCTTCAATTATGTTCACCTTTCAATGATCAAATATCAATAATGAATTAAGTACCTTAATCAAGTAACCCTGCAAAATAGCAAACACTCATGAATTGAATACCTTTGATCAAATATCCAAATACCTTAACTTATTAATAGGCCAAATAGTTTGAATATGATTATACCAAAAATGCACTGTAGTTTATTTGTTTTTTAACCTCAGCCGGCATCCAAATGAAAAATAAAGCAAAACACAACCCCACCCTACGTTGCAGGCCTGTTCCGTTGTAGTCCACAAGATGGCATCCTTGGCGATGGGAAAAGCTTACTCACAGTCAGACGATCTTCTTGTTATAAAGTTCCAAGCTTCACACAGATCCAACAAATGAGCACAAAGTTGTCCAAACTGATCCACAGTCTCCTTGCAGGAAAAAAAATTGTTCTGGTAATCCTCTGATCACGAAGTCCACGTCCTTCCACTCAAACAGCGGCTGGCTGTGTGAGCAACACACTTTACTGCAGGCAAACTCTGGCTAGCTAGCCTGTTAGCGATTGCGCTGACTCCAGTCTTTTCTAATGACCCAGCTAGCTTAGCGAGCTAACTACTACTCTTTACTGCAAAACGACACTGCCCAGGCTTGTTGACTGACTTCTCCACAGACTTCTCTCACAGTCACACCAGCGATATTTCACCACTGATTACTATAAGAATGTCCAATATCAAATCGTTTGTCACGCTCCCGTTTTCAATGTCTTTTCATTCATTCACTTATCACTCGTTCCTCTCTCCTTGCGTACATGGAACTGCATACACCGTTCTCTCCCGCTCCCAATCGCATGACCCATTATCTCGCTGCTCATTCGCTCTCCCACTACAGGTACCAAACTACATCCCCGCCGCAAATAAATCCCAGAAAATAATAAAAATAAAACCCACAGGTTAATACAGTGCTTTAAGTAAATAAAACGCTTTTAGAGGTAGACTCAGGTAAACAACTTAACCATTTCTTTTCACCATACAATGTACCAGTACTCGTCACAAAATAAGAACTTCTTTTACAAATCCCAAAATAACAAAACCATTACATTTCAAATAATGATCTTTTCATCAACCCAAAATAATAAACAGGGGTACACTGGTATACATTTTTTATATAGATTCGTTTTGTGAGTTAATATTACATTTGTGGTTATTGTAAGATAACAAAATTGCTGCTGTTGAGTGAGTATATTTTTTCCTGAAGAAATGTAAGACCAGTATTTGTTAACTTGGTATCTAAAAACTATACAATCTGGATATTTTTTGACATGTCTTTTTATTTCAATTGCTATAATATTAATGTAGTAATTAATATACAGTTGAGGCCAAACTTATTAGCCCCCCTATGAAATTTTAAGTTTTTTTCCAAAATTTCTTAAGTGCTGTTCAACAGATTAATGATTTTTTTACACAGCTTTTCCAAATATTCTAGTTTTATTTTGGATCCTTAAATTATTTTGCTTTGCACTCAGAAACAAAATTATTTCAGAAAAACGACCGGGTTTAGAATTATTAGCCCCCCTTAAGAATTGACGTCTCCATTGAGCCAAAACAAAAAACACTGTTGTGCAATCATGAACTTTCACTTTTAAGTGCTCACAGCTTGTAATCAATCAATCAATTAAGTTAAAACAAAGGGTTGTCCTACACTTTTTACACAGTTTAAAAACCTTGTTACGCATTTGAGCTGTCACTTGAGAAGGCATCATGGCAAATACAAAAGAATTCAATTTAGACTTGAGAAAAAGAATTGTTGATGCTCACAAAGCAGGAAGGATATAAAAATTTATCACAGCGTTTCTAAGTGTCAAGAAGTGGAGTGAGAAGTATCACCAAGAAATTCAAGGAGAGCAACACAGTACAGAACAAGTCTGGGAGAGGTAGGAAGCAAAAAATTTCAAGGAAACTGGAAAGAAAACTGGTGAAATATGTGTCTCAACAACCTAAAACAACCACCAAAAGAGAAGTTGGTGACTTAGCCAAGACAGGAATTGTGGTGTCAAACAAGACAGTCTCTAGAGCCCTGAACAGAAATGGACTGTGAGGATGCAGGCCAAGAAAAACACTTCTACAAAAAAGACACCTTCAAGCCAGACTGGGGTATGCTAAGGAAAAGCTGAAGGAAGATTGTGCATACTGGAGACGTGGTCTTTGGTTCAGTTGAGACCAAACTAGAGCTCTTTGGTCACAGGGACATTGCTTATGTTTGAAGAAAGAAGGGAAGGTTGTATAACCCCAAGATGTCCTCTGGAATCATATGTCCTCTCCAAAGACTTTCTATGTAGGTTCTCATTCATCTAGGTCATGGTTACTCAGTTCTCTTTTGAAGGGGAACTGGATATGTTTGAGGTTCTTGAAGATGTTTCTCCTCTCTTCCAAAAGGCTTCTTCAGTTATGAAGTGGCTGGGGCCAAAGTTGGTAATGTATAGCTGTTGTTGGTCATCCAGCTGAAAAAGGAGTGGGTGCACTCATAAAAATAACTCTTTGGACAAACTCAATTAAATTGTGGACAGGTTTTCCATCTAAAATATATGTGTAGCCGCACGAGGCTCAGTCAACTCGGTCTTTCAGTCAACTCGTTCATCGTCTGGGTCTTTCGTTCACTCGGTCTTTCAGTCAACTCGTTCATTGTCTGGATCTTTCGTTCACTCGGTCTTTCAGTCAACTCGTTCACCGTCTGGATCTTTCGTTCACTCGGTCTTTCAGTCAACTCGTTCATCGTCTGGGTCTTTCGTTCACTCGGTCTTTAAGTCAACTCGTTCATCGGTCTGGATCTTACGTTCACTTGGTCTTTCAGTCAACTCGTTCATCGTCTGGATCTTTCGTTCACTCGGTCTTTCAGTCAACTCGTTCATCGTCTGGGTCTTTCGTTCACTCGGTCTTTCAGTCAACTCGTTCATCGGTCTGGATCTTACGTTCACTTGGTCTTTCAGTCAACTCGTTCATCGTCTGGATCTTTTGTTCACTCGGTCTTTCAGTCAACTCGTTCATCCGTCTGGGTCTTTAGTTCAACCCGGTCTTTCGTTCAACTCGGTCTTTCGTTCATTTGACCCGTTCTTTCAGTCAACTCGTTCACTTGGTCTTTCAGTCAGCTCAGTAGTGCTGCTGCTGCTTCTCTAAGCCCCACCCACACACAGAACGAGGCGCGACGATAGGATAAGACAGGCAAGCACGGACATAGTCCCTCTTCAGCCAATCAAAAGAACTGAACGGACTGAACGGGTCATTCAGGGGGGGAGAACTAGTTCATTTCGTTCACCAAAAAGAACTAGTTCTTTTGATCCGTTCGTTCAAGACCGACACACCACTAGAAAGAGTAAACTCAGCCTAACTACAAAACAAAACTGTTGACTAAACTGAGAAATCAAGCCAATGTTCTGTTTGAACATGTTAAATTCTTGCATAACATTTCAAAGTGCAACTTTCAATGCTTTTTTGTAAACATTGCCAAAAAAAAAAAACTTTCTAGAAGAGGGATTTGCATGTAACCCTTTTAGAAGGAGAGCTCAGTAAGGCTAATGGTGTCACCTTAACAATTCCTGCACAAGTCCTGTTCAGTAACGTTACCTTGGTAGTCTATATGTAAGTGGGCTAATGTTATAACTCAATTATGAAAAGCTCGGTTCAGTGCTTATGTACATATACACTAGTAAATAAATCAATGTGAAAACAAAAGTGATCTGTGAGACTTTTTTAAGCTGTAAAATAAAGTATTTTAAATCAATGAAATTACCTTGAGCATTTTGTGTCACACATTAGCAATGTTGGTCAAGTGATTTGGAAATAGTAATTAGATACTGATTAGAGATTACTTCTCCAAGCAAGTAATCCTGTTACTTTACTAATTACTTATTTTCAAAAGTAATTAGTTACTGTGCTTATTACTTTACTGAGTTACTTCTCAAAAACATGATGCACTACCTAAATACCTAGACCTTTTAGCCTAATTCTATTCTATGGAATATTTTGCCTATTCCATCATATAAAATTGAATCAAATTAAAAGTCACATTTTAAAAACTTGGTTTATTAGTTTAAACCCTTTTTTTCTGCACATTTCTCTAAATTTTAATCAAATAAAGCAAGTCCTTCTTCTGTTAACTTATATTTCACCATTCAGCGGCACTAACAGCTAAAACCCACAGGATCAGGAATGGCAGGTAGATCAAATAAGCAAGCATTATAATCAATGTGCGTGATTTCACACAATCCGTCTGCTGTCCGGCTCTGCAGTGGATCATCTCCGAGGGTAGGATCAGATACGCAAGGCTTCTTTTTTTGCCGGACATCACAGCACAGTGCATCAATTCAGTGCAGCGCAGCACAAGCAGCAGCGGAAGTTGTATGCTGCTGCAGTGTAAAATATCCAGTTAATTTTCAAAATTCAGGTTCAGGTTGAGGATCAGGACTCCAACGGTGAACCGGCCTGCTGAGTGGTTGGACAGAGAAGCAGAAACACAGCTGAACAGGACTGGGCACAGCTCCTCTGATTAGAACAACATGGAACTGGAAAAAGCCAATGCTACCATGGCCAACCTTAAACCAGACATCCAGAAACTCACGGCAGAGCTAAAAGCCAAATCGGAGTTACTCACCGCGTGCATGAGCGTTCCTCTCAGTCAGACCCGCCGGATCAGCTCCCTTCAGGCCTCCCCCCAGGAAACACTTCCCTGGGACCCTGCAAGCCCTCGGCCCTCATCGGGCTCAACACCGCGTGCTGGCCGGACCTGGAGCGAGGTTGTTGTCTGCGGTAAGGGAAAAAGCCGCCCCACCGATGGCTCCCGACCCGCATCACCCTGACAGCCGCGTTGAGGCCCTACCACAGGCCACTGTGGATCCAGCCGTTGGCCCGACGCAGGAGGATAACTGCGACGCTATCGCCGCTGGCATTCTGGGCAAGACGCCGACGGGGAATGACGTGGCCCTTCTCCTCCAGCCTTCTAGCTGCCCGGATGCCCGACCATGGCTCACCCGACCGCCCGGGCCTCCCTGCAGCTGCACCTCTGACCACCGCTAAATCTGGGCCGGCCCCCTCTGGTCCAGCTGCCTCCCGATCGCCGTTCGACATGGGCATGAAGACCACCTCCCCGCCAACGTGCAGTGGCCCCCGGACGCTGCCCCTTGCTAGTGAGGGGGACTCCTCCCTGACTCCACCCATCGGTGAGCACTGAGCCCAGCCCTCCGAAACTCGCCAGTCGGCTGCCACCACCACCAGTCTCTCCAGACTGCGACTTGGGCTCCTGAAGGAAGCAGTTCGCCGCCACTCCACTGGTCGCTCCGGCAGTTTCTTGCAGTGCGAGCTGGAGGTTCCCTCACTGCCGTGTCCTCGTCACAACGCCAACACCCCCCCACAAAACGGGATCGAGCCTAAACAGCCTGAGGCATCTCGTCATTACATCCTCGAAAACCCAGCCCGCTACCCAGACACCTCCCGCTACCAATGCGCCAAAACAAAACACAACCTCAAAAAACTTTGACTGTCGGTCACCGACTGTGGCAAGTCAATATTCTTTACACAATATCTCGACAATATCGCACCCATCCACCTGTCTCCTTCCATCGCCCTGCCCCCTGGTACACCCCCGAGCTCAGGGAGATGAAAAGAAAAAAACACCAACTTGAACGCCTCCACAAGAAAACTGGTCTCACTGTCCACCTCCACGCCCTCACCGACTACATCCACCCTCTCGCTCCCCCCCGCCCCCTCTTTTGAACACATTGCCCTCAAACTCCCCGGACCATCACCACTCATCATCACTATCCTCTACCGCCCACCCAAACCCAACCCCTCTCTCCTCCACGCCCTCACCGACTACATCCACAAATACAACAATGCCTTAAACAACGCCCGGACCTCCCACTACTCCATCATCAATCACGCCGTCTCCAGAAATCCCAGATCCCTATTCTCCACAGTCAACCATCTGCTCAAACCCCAGGATCATATCCCCTCATCATTCACCACCAGCAAATGCAACACATTCCTCAAATACTTCCAAGATAAAGTCAACTCCATCTACCACAGTGACAAATCAGATCTCATAATCATCGGTCCCAAAACCCTCACCAAAACCACCTCAGACATCTCCATCCATGTTGACCAATCCCATATCACCCCCTCTTCACTTGTCCGCAACCTTGGTATCCATCTCGACCCCAACCTCACTTTTGACCACCATATCTCCCAACTTGCCCGCTCCGCTTTCCTTCACCTGAAAAACATTGCAAGACTCCGCCCCTTTCTCTCCCCATCTGCTGCCGAAACCTTAATACACGCTTTCATCACCACCAGATTGGACTACTGCAATAGCCTCTTCTAAGGTCTCCCCTCCACCATCCTCAACAAACTTCAACACATTCAGAACTCCGCCGCCAGACTTCTCACCCGCACCCGCCCATACGACCACATCACCACCGTCCTCCGTCAACTCCACTGGCTTCCCACCGAATTCAATTCAAGATCCTCCTCCTCACCTTTAAGTCCCTCCACGACCATTCAATGTCTTATGGGGAAACACGCGAGATCTCGTGAGAGATATCACTAATCTCCCGAGCCCTTCTCCAACGATGGCGGCGGCAGATCGGATCTGGTGGGCACTATATGCTTGTGTATTTGATCTGCCTGCCAGTCCGGAGTGGGGTGGAGTTGTTCCAGATCCTGTGGAATGCCTGGGTAAGTCCTGTCGCTCTGAAGTCTCTTTTCAGAATTGGATGTGGTAGCTGCAGCGGTCATGTCAGTGGGGGGATCTGGGGTTTTGCTGTGAGTTTCACAATCCTGTGCTGGCTTGCTAGGTGCTTGCTGAGATTCGAGGTGAAATTTTTCCTTGTAAATAAATTTTCTTCCCATGCAGAGTGTGCAGCATACGCTAATTTTTTTGGCATCTTTTACCGAGTCAAACTCAAGATAATATTGGTACTTCCAAGCATTAATTGCTGCATGGTCATGCTTTCTCCATGTTGTCTCATGATGACTACTACACATGAATGTTGTTGACTGTTTACCACTATCGTCGCTCCACAGTAATCTAATTACTGTTTTTGCAATTGTAATCCCTTATTTTACTCATTATGTGTAAATGTAATGTGTGTAATGTGTAAACACATTAAATGTAAATGTAAAAGTAAAAATGTAAATGTTCTTTATTTATCCAGCCCTTTACAACAACCCTTTTGGTGAGCCAAAGTGCTTTACAATACATAGTAAAAACAAATAAAATAAAAAACAAACAACCAATAAAAGCAATAAAAAAAAAGAATAAGATACAGTGCAATAAAATAAAGTGTCACCACATTAGTGTCTGGGTTCCTGCTCACCCGGCCAGGATCCTGATTTACAGAACTGCTTCATCACCCAACAAAACTCTGTACAAATTTGCTGCTGCTACACGTGGATAAAATGGTGGTACGCCTCTGTTAATAAAAGAAAAACCCACAATGGTCACAGAAATAACTTGAATCTGACTAAAGTAATAATAAATAACAATTCTATATAAATGAACAAATGAAAATCCAACATTGATTTTGAACCTCAAAATGGACCAGATGCACTTGGCTGCTAAAGATAGAAGACGTGGGAATCGCTACGGCAAACCCCCTACTGAGTGATTTACTGGAGAACACTGTGCTGTCCATCAAGTAGGTTCCGTTTGAGAGAAGAACTCTACAGGACTAACTAAAGCTGAGAGAGCTCAGCCCGGATTGACCACCGAGTCAATCCAGACCAGCAAGTGACCACCAAGAAGGGCAAACAATATACGCAGACATTTTTAAGAGCATGGTATGCGCCCAAAGCATGGCTAAGTGGATATCCAAAGAGTAAGGCCCTTTTTTTTTCTGTGTAAAATAATGGTGACAAAAAGAAATAGTAAAGCTGGCAAAATACAATTTTGGCTACTGAAACAGTCAGTCAACAAAATCTGTTTGTAGAAAAGTAGAGTATATAAAGATTAAAAACTAATATAAACCATACATTTATCATAGTGAGACACTACATAAAAGCCAGACTAAAAAGAAAGCTAACAGACGATGTTTATGCCACAATGTTAGAAATCAACAACTTTTAAGGCATGGTGAAAACGTCCTGAAAAATGATTTTTAGCAAAGAGTAGAAACTGTGTATTTGTTCACCCAGTTTCAATTCAGTTCCACTGAAATATCAAATGTAATAAAATTGTTATGTATTTAAAGCAAATGTTTGTGTTGTTTTCCTTTGGCTGATCATATTGATATGCAGCCAGATGCAGGTAAATGTGGGTCTGCTCTTTATCATTTTTCTGCTGCTGTCATTGTGTGCTCCTTTGCTGTAGCCTAACCTGTTGAGATGCAGGTGAATGTACACAAGTACGCTACTGTCAGTTTCTATGTCATAGGATTACATTGAATGTAAGTAGGCTGTGTGTCGGCTATAATGCCCTAATAGTTAGTTGAAATACAGTTTCCCAACCCCATTTGTCTTTGTAGGTCAAGATCGTATGTTTCCGTAATTTTCTTAGAAAGCACCAGAATGCTTCATTTACATTTGAAAACCAAAAAAAAATCTTCTGGGGGAGGAAACATGGAGGAGGCTCTGTTATGTTCTGGGGCTGCTTTGCTGCATCTGGCACAGGGGTGTCTTGAATCTGTGCAGGGTACAATGAAATCTCAAGACTATCAAGGGATTCTAGAGAGAAATGTGTTGGCAAGTGTCAGAAAGCTTGGTCTCAAGTCGCAGGACAATGACCCAAAACACACAGCTAAAAACACCCAAGCATGGCTAAGAGGAAAACATTGGACTATTCTAAAGTGCCCCTCAATGAGCCCTGACCTAAATCCTATTGAGCATCTTTGGAAGGAGCTGGAACATGCCATCTGGAAAAGGCACCCTTCAAACCTGAGACTAGTGGAGACGTTTGCTCATGAGGAGTGGGCCAAAATACCTGCTGAGAGGTGCAAAAGCCTCATTGACAATTACAGGAATCTTTTGATTGCAGTGATTGCCTCAAGAGATTGTGCAACAAAATATTAAGTTAAAGTCTGACTTTCATTGGTTAATTTTCATAGAATTTTTATCTTCTATTACTTTTGTCAGATTCAAGGTATTTCTGTGACCATTGTGAGTTTTTCTTTCCTTAACCGAAGGGTACTAACATTTTTTTTTTCACATGTGTACATGTTGTTCCTCCTGCCAAGGTCAAATATTGTGTAAGCAATGACCGTCTACTATACTGTCTAGTAACTGGTGCACTTGGTGTAATATGTCTAAGCACAAAACAGACTAGAGGCCTCAACACTGTGGCCTTCAGGTGAGTAGATTCTTTATAACAACACAAACTCAGTACTCTCACCTTCTGAATAATAAGAGCCTGTTCCCTCTCCTGTTTTTCATACAGCATCATGGGAGATTTTACAAGAAAGTATGCTGCAACAGTAGACATGTTTACTGTCATTGTATGCTCCCTCTTCAATACTGTTGCTTTTGTTGTCTCTGTGTAAGTGCTTCTGACAGGACTGTCCTTGAACATCCACATTCTTGTACTAAACGAATAATCCTCGACTGTAAAATGTTAATGCTCAACATTAATATGGGAAATGTGCTTTTGTTACACTTTCTGAAGAAGTTATTCAGTCAATTTGTTCTTTTAATATTGATCTCATTGAAACACATTGGCCCTCATTTATCAATCTTGTGTAAAACTGAGCGCAGATCTGAGTAAGGGATTCATTGTACAATTGGACACGTGTGAGATTTATGATGGGGTTTGTCCACCTACAGAAGTGTTATTGGCTGGCTCTCAATGATGGGCCATACTGAATACGTCATTTTTTCATAAATTTTTGTAATACCAGTACAAACAATATAGTCAAATAGACAAAACAATTTGCATGCAGCACAATGCAAAAGAAATCTACTTGTATCATTATTATTATCATTATTATAACATTTGTTCCTTCATTTGGACCAAAAAGCTCGAAGGTATTAAATGTGGACAACCCCAAAAAAAGGTTCTTTCTACAGCTGTCCATCACCTAGCTTGCTTGTTAATGTCCAAGGCTTGTTAAATACCTGATTCTGGTTGGTCAAATTCCCTTGACAACCTCTTGACAATGGTTATTAACTCTCTATTACAAGTACAACACCAGAGACAAACATGTAGTATTAAATCAATCACTGAAAGTTACAGCCCATCTCACTTCTGCTTGTCAACGGGGAGACAAAGACATTAGTTTCTTTAAGCATTGTTGTTTAAAAACTGTGGCATTTACGAGCTTTCAGAATCAGTAGAATCAGAATCAGAAGGGGGTTTTATTGCCATTGTCAATGAACAGGATTCACAGACTAGGAATTTTTTACGGTGTGATGGTGCAACATTAAACAGAATAATATATAAAATACTAGAATAGATAATAATAAGAGCATGCAGGACATATATAAAGTATAAAAGTATAAAAGGCTGTGTACAATGCTATGTACAGTATGTATAACAGAGGTTATGTACAACTACACAATACAGAACAACAGTGCAGTGGGAGGAGTGCAATAAAAAAACCAAGGTACATTAAACTAAAGTGACCAGTGATACAGTGACAGAGTTAAAGTGACTGAGTTATAAAGTGTTCATGAGTCCAACGGCAGAGGGGAAGAAACTGTTCTTACGGCGGAAGGTTCTGGTCCGAATGGACCATAGCCTCCTGCCTAAGGGGAGTGTCTCAAATAGTCCATGTGCAGGGTGAGAAGGGTCAGCTGCGATCTGACCTGCTCGGCCCCGAGTCCTG